AACTCTTTTGGAGTGCTAAATGAGATTACTGCTAAAGGGGCTAAAATGCTAAAATACTGTTATCATTTTCTACGCCATCTATTGGGGAAACGTAGGTATTGCAGGGAAAAGGTAGACGTAAAACGGTAATATAAATAAATTATATAATTTGGAAAAGTTTGGCGGACCGGATTAAAAAGCTGAACCGGCCGCATTTGGCCCCCGGGCCTTATTTTTCCCGTGCCTGGTCTAGATGAATCCTCCACCGTCAAAGTCAAACACTGACCGTTCTCATCATTTGGAGACGTTAAAAGTGTTGCTGTCGACCACGACTGAACCACGAGACTGACTCTTTGTGACTCTTTACTTATCAGTCCCTGTAGGGGGCATAACTCTGACTAATCGGTTTGTGTTGGACACAGGAGACGCCTCATGAATCATGTACATGTAACAAATCTGTGGTCCTCATTGGCTGAGTGGTCGGGATCAAATGGGTTGGACGTGTGCGTGTTCACGGTGACGGTCACCTGTCGGTCCATTAGCCACCGCTGTGCAGAGAAGTACACTCCGGTTTCATCTTCAGTGTAGGGTATACTGTGTACTGCGTGAGTACTGCATGTGTACTGCATGAGTACATGCCCCTGTCCCTGGATCAGCAGCTGTGTAATTTAAGATCTCTTTATCGTTCCTCTGATCTTCTTAAACTACTCTCACTTTTCAGCGGCCACCGATCGTGTGGTGTAGAGCAGTGTTTCCCAAACACTGGGTTGCGACCCTCAACTGGGTCGCAAGAGTTTTTTTGGGGGGTCGTCTCACATCCTGTTTCCCAGGAGTTTACGAATAATGTCTATTGACTTGGGTCGCGAAGGTTTGTGACTTTTAAAAATATGGGTCCACAGAAAAAAAAGTTTGGGAAACACTGATGTAGAGTGATAAAGAATAAAAAGTCCAGAGATTCACATTGATTTTCTCTGTGTTTTTTTTGTTTCCCACAGTTCGAGGGTTGTAACAAAGCATTTTCACGTCTGGAGAATCTGAAGATCCACCTGAGGAGTCACACGGGAGAGAAACCGTACCTGTGCCAGCATCCCGGCTGCCAGAAAGCTTTCAGCAACTCCAGCGACCGCGCCAAGCACCAGCGCACCCACCTGGACACGGTCAGGAACGATGATGATGTCATTTTTTAACCCCTCAGTGTCAGATTCACGTGAGGCCGACGGTTATTTTCACTCCTCGACGGTAGCGGCGACTGGGGGCGAATTAATAAGTGGATGAGGTTTGGACATATTAGCAGCAAGGATTAGTTTATATTTGAATTTGAAAGAAAAAATAAACTGGCATTCCTCGACGCCGTAGCACACGTGCGTTCACGGTCCAAGATAAATTTTGCTCACACCGCCCCTCCCCTTTCTGTTTTTACACCGAGCTCAAACTGCACAGACGTCCAAGTCGTGATGCATGTTTCCACATCTTTACAGTGTAAGTCTTGAGCCTTCTGTCACTCAGAGAGCCGTGAGGTATTCTCAGTCCCAGTGCTGGCAGTGACGTGCCGCAGATCATTAAATGATCAGTTCCATTAGGCTGCGTCTCAGCTCGGGTCATAACAGACTTGGAGCTCAGACAGAGCTCTGCCTGTTTCTCTGACCTGTGGAACGGGAAGGAAAGTCTGAGTCAACCATCCGCGCCGCTCGTCATGTCTCAGCCATCCCACCCATAACTCACTTTATCACCATCTGCGCGACAACGCGGCGAGGGAGTCAATAAGCTGTTGATGGAATTGGGAGTTGAAATATTTATTTTCCCCCGTCATTTTCCCCTTTTACCAATTTTTTTTTTATTTTTAGTAAATAATTGAAACCAAATCAGTCCATTCCAGTATAAACACATTCTTATTATAACATTTTTTTTTTAATCTAAAGCAGAGAATCTTGAAAGAAAGAAAAATTATATAAATAAATAGGATGTAGGAACAATTTCCTTAGGTGGTATTAATGCAATTCAATATATATACATATATATATATATATATATATATATATATATATATGGTTATATAGTGCATAAAAAAGTCTTGTTAAAAAGAAAATAACAACTACTTCCCAGCAATTAGAAACGTAGTTTTTACATAAAGTTCTACATAAGTTTCATAAGTAGATAAAGAACTTTTTCTGTTGACTAAACATTTGAAAAAAGTAAAAAAAAAAAGTCATGTTCTCTTTGAGAGAACCTGGTATTTAATAATCAAAGATTGTAGAAATATGATATTCATCTTTTTACCTCATGTGTTTAAATTAAACACCAAGGACGGTTTAAAAATATAAATTTTTTAAACAATCCGCTCTAAAAAAAACACCTAAAATATTGGAGAAAGATAATCTATTTTGCAGTATTTTTATAATATCAGTACTACCAGAATACCCCCCCGTCCCTCGCCCTCGCCTCCTCCATGTTCCTGACCTGGGCGTCTACCGACATGTTTTGGTTCGGGGCGTAGTAAATCATTTGGAGTATTTACCCAAGTAGAAATTTGAATGTGGAGTTGTGTTTTTCTGTCAGTTTGGGATTTTTCTTCCACCTCCCTCGTTTTCCACAGTAGGACAAATGATACGGCTAATCTGGGAGCCCCCACGCTTACGGCTTCACATTAACACCCCGAATAAGGCCTCGGCCGGGTCTGCCAGCCGCCTGCTCTGCCAGAAACACTTAGAGGGAAAATCATTTTCAACCTTTAATGATATTTATTCTGCACAGAAGTTGTGCCTGAATTTTTTTTTTTTTTTTTTTTTTTAAACCGGGGGTCATTGCTGTGTTGGGTGCGTTGCTGGCAAAACAAACAGAGAGCAGAGATGAGTGGCGCTGTAACGCCCTGAAACAACGATGGATTATTTACAGAGAGGCCGAGGAACGGAGGCGGCGCTAATAAAGTCACGTATTTTGTTACATTTTAATGGGCAACCTCTATTTACGGGTTTGAGGGGGAAAAAGAAAAAACAAAATCCTCCTCAGTCAGCCGGCTATAGGCGTGTGTTATTTGCTGTGAAGTGATGAGGAAACTCCATGACACATGTCGGTGTTCTGTGTTAGTAATCCTCCTGCAGCTGCCTCTTTATGACCCGTCTGGATGTCAGCACGCAGTCACCACCGTGTGTCCGTGTCACGTTTCTTTCAGTTTGAAAAGAACATTTAGAGTCAAAGTCAAAGTCAGCTTTAATGGTCAATTTCTTCACATGTACTAAGACGTACCAAGGAAATCGAAATCTCGTTTCTCACTGTCCCACGCGTAGACGAGACGGGACAAACACTAACGTACAGTACGGTTCAGACAAGGGTGATCAGGAATTAGCTGCAGTAAAAAATGGTAAGATACAGATTTATTTATTTATTTATTTTTATTTTAAGGGTGGGGGGTGTCAGGGGAGGTCTGAGTCCAATCGTCGTTGGAGAGTTCTGTTCTTGAGGACGTTAATGTGCGACATGTTGTAAGGTTTTGTGCAACAACTATCCCTTTCTTTTTGTGATTTTTTTTTTTAAAGAACAATAATAATAACAAACATCATCACAGTGTAATCCACTCAGTGATTTGACACAGATTTTATGCCACGGGCACTTTCTGATGCCGATGAGTCACAGTGGGAACATGGAAGAAGTGAATCCTAGAGCTGTGTCGTTGAGATGCTGAACCACTGATTGTTGTCTCTTCTTCTTCTTCTTCTTCCTCTTCTTCCTCCTCTGCCCTGTTCTCTTATGCCTCCCCAAATAAAATGCTTTCCTCAGCCAAAAGGTAGGACTTTATCTTTTCCTTTTCCTACAACAAATTTCAAACTTACTGTGATTCTCTCTCTCTCTCTCTCTGTTGGTTTTTGTTCTACCTTCAAGTTGGTTTTTGTTCTTCCTTCAACAACAACACAGAGAATCACCATACATTTGACTTTTCACCGTAACTGACACACATTTGTTTCTCCTCTCACAGAAACCATATGCGTGTCAGATTCCTGGCTGTACCAAGCGTTACACAGACCCGAGCTCGCTACGCAAACATGTCAAGATCCACTCTGCCAAAGAGCAGCAGGTGCGTAGAAAGGTAAGAGACTGTCCAGGAGTGTGAGGGAAAAACCAGGAAAAGGGTTTGTTTTATTTATGCTGCGGGTGTATAATCAAAACAGTCCCAAGCTCTGCCGTGTCACTGCATGATCTTTGCTTATTTTTTTTTAACCAAAGTTCACGTAAATATAGGGGAATTTTACGTTACAAAAGCCATGTATCAACGCCCACACTTCCCTGCTGGGGGTGCTGTTGGAATGCCTTGGTCAAAAGGTTGCTGGTGGCGCTGATTTTATTTAAATTTAATCCTGCAACTAAAACACTACCCACTAAATACAAGGAAAGAATTCAATCTAAGCAGGACAGACTAGCACAGGATTCTTTCCATCCCCTAGAGGTCAGTGAAGGTACTGGAGGTATGAAGTACATTACATTTTGGGTTTAGAGGTCAGTGAAGGTACTGGAGGTATAAAGAATATTACATTTTGGGTTGAATAGACTTTAAAAAAACACAATTTTTTAATATTTTATGTTTCTAGTAAAATATTCATACATGACAAGAGGCCCAGTTTTATATATGACAGAATTTGTTCCTTATATTCTGGACTTGGCAACATGTTTTTTAGACACATAACTGCCAAACATTAGTTCTGTTTGAAACCACTAAACAGAACTAGTTTTATATGCTGTACATATAAAAAAAGTGTATTTATAATGGAGGGTCCTCACCTTGTGTTTAACAGGTATTTTCCCCTGAAAACCATTGGCTTAAACGATGATGCTGGACTTGTTGCTGAGCCTTCTGTGTTCATACATTAGCCCAGGGTTAGAAAAGTGATTTCTCTCTTTATATAACCTTTAAAATTGCATTTCAGGGCACAAAATATTTTGTTTGGAGATTTTCCACTCAAAGAACCCTCCTATCAGCTGAGTCCATCTTACTTCTCAAGGCTCAAGTTTTTGTTTTGATTTCTTTTAATGGCACTTTGCATTATTTTATTTTTGTTGTTAAATTACTGCCTCTGCTGGTGAACACCAGAAACAAACCGACCTGCAGCAAAAAAGAGAAAATACAGTGAAATATTACATTGAGTGAAATGATTTCTTTGATTTTATAAGTGTAAGCGTTTGCTTTTTTCTTTTTTGGCCTAGTAAGTTCTGGTGTTTTCCACCGTGACCTGTAGAAGGACGTCGTAGAGCGGTCGCAAACAGAACAGATTTTTTTTTTTGAATCTGCCCCGTTCTGTTCTGTTCTGTTCTGATCCTGTTTTATCCACAGATTTATCTAATTGGTTGCACTTAAAATTGCAAACGCCTGTGTCGGAGCACAGGGCTGTCTTTGAGAGTCGCTCTCCCAACAATAGATCAGGTCGGAGCGCATTTCATCACAGTCACGCTCAAAAGCCCATTCATCCTCCACTGGAAGTGGGTAAATAACAGAGAATGGGCTCATTGTTGTGGAGGGAGCTGGATAGTGGTCGGGCGGATGATGTGTTCTTTTGCTTAGCGCTGTAAAGGGAAACACATGTGTGTGTGCATGTTGCATTGTTAATAAGCTGTAGTGTGGAACACCCCAGTGGCCAGATGTTACGGACAAATGTCAAACAAACGCTTTTACTCCACAAAGCTGCGAGAAACGTGTCGCTCTGGGGAAAACAAGAGCAGAGGTTAAAGCTGAGAACGTTTGCAGGACACGGATGTGAGACACACACGTCACAGTGAGACGTGTGTGTGTGTGTGTGTTGGTGCTGAAATGATAATAGGAAAAATAAGCTGGTTATTTTCATCTTAGTGTTAGCCTGTTTTTTTTTTTCACTCTTGTTCGGACGATACGAGTATCGGTGTCGGTCCAAAGACTCGATACTTTTTTAGCTTTTTGTTTCTGTTTGGCTTGAATTCATCTTCTGTTGTTGACGCGTCCTCCGTGTGGTTTACCCAAGTACTGCACATCACCGCAGAGATGTGACAGATATAAAACAGTCGTCCAGTCCGAGTATTTTTTTTTTAAAAACCGTACAAGCAATTTTTATGTTTAAAAAAAAAAAACAAATTAATTTTTTTTATATGAGCTTTGTTGACTTTTACTGCGAGTACCACGCAGAGTCATGATCAACGTTACGATGGAAAAATTACACTTCAGCGGGATTCCCTTGGCACCGAAGCCAAAAATGTCCATCAAAAAAACCCATTTGGTGCCACTCAGATTCTGCATTTTGGCTGATTGGATTTTGCTTTAATCAGGTGTAGATAAATAAAATGGACTTAAATAACTGAACTCACATGTATAAAACAGAACAACACAGTAACTACTACTGAGGTCTTAGGCAGAGCAGTGATGACATTATATTAAAGTGCTGTGTGGTAACCCAATAAGGACCGAGTGGTTGAAGAAGAGCTTGTGTTTTATTTCACACTGCAGACTTCAAATCACTTCCTTCCATTTCCCACCAGGCTTCAGCTGTAGGTTTGTGCTGATCTGGGTTCTGAAACTTTCAGGATGTGATTTTCAAGGTAATTCTTCCTGAGTCAAGAACAAGATGTGGCTGTTTGTACAGTCCAGGTGTGTGAGACACCGATGGATCTGACAGAGCTCAGCTGTTCCTGCCGATCCGTCGGACACACGTCCCGTTTCATCAACAGACGCGGTCGGTTCCTATGGGTTTCGTGTGACAGACTCTGGAAGCAGAACTTGTCTTCACTTGCTTCCATTAGTGTTGGCAGCGAGAAGAACAGAAGCACTCACACTGGTTCTGATTTGCCACAGCCGGAGAATGAGTCAAGCAGAACTGCATGACCCGATCCTCCTCCTCCGGTTCCCCCTCGTTGTCGCTGTGCTCTTGTTTGAGTAACTGCTTCAGATTAACAACACAATCAGATTACTGCAGAAACAGAGCAAACACACACACACACACACACACACATCCTGACCCTGCACGACACATGGACGCCTTTCAGAGAAGCTTACAACGTGTTGTAACTTTGTGTCAACTTTTTTTTTTTTTTCTCTCTCTCCATCTCGTTGACTGACAGCTGCGGCCGTGTCCTCACCTGGAGCAGGACGTCCTGAGTGACTGTTTGTCCATGCAGCACCTGCAGAGCTCCACATCCTCTCACAACCTCTACAACGGCAAAGACGGCTGTTCTCCTGGACTGGACATCTATACAGGTGCACATAGGCTGCTGCTCTGTCACACAACACCCTGATAATGTAGCATGAAGTAACCCAACGCTCCTGCCAGCGACAACACTCAGGTTTCACTCAGATCTCTGCTGTTTTTCAAACACGCTCTTCACATATGATTGGATCGCTGCAGGAATTTAACACAGAAAACAACTTGGACAATTCAATCTTGATGTTTTGCTTTTTGGCTTCAGCACAGTACGAGACCAGTAGTAGCCTTTAACGCAGGGGAGGGGGCGGAGCTTGGAGCTTGAATGCACTGTTAGTTGTAACGTTTATCCTCTGTTTTACCACCGATCTTTGTCGCCTTACGTCAGGGAGGGTGGATCGGGGTCACTATGAATCTAAGGGGGTCATGCCCCCCCCATTCCCAGTACCATCTCCGCACATGCAGCCAACTATTAACCAGCAGGTGTCGCTGAGTCTCTGTAACAATCACCAGTAATTCTGTGTTTTTAATCAGTAGAAAACAAAGGTATGGCCTGAACTAGAACAACAACAGACTTCCTGCTGTGACTGATCTTTCACCAACACATAAATACTGGACTTACCTGACTGTTTCAGGCTCGTGTTTGTTTGTTTGGTTGATGATCCATAATCACAGCATGTCAACTGTCAGGCGGGGGACTGTAAAAATGACAAACATCAACTTTTTATTCTTCACATGTGGCTTTTTATGCTCCCATTTTTCTAATTGATGAATTGGTGACTGTCACCAAAAGTCAACGCCACAGTGGAGTGGAAACAAAAGAGAGATAAAAAAAGATCTGAACAATCATAAAGACAAGAGAGACGTCCCACAGCGTCCTGGGTTTATGAACACATCTGTCCTTGTTTTCCTCCTGTACTCTGTCCAGACTCCCCGTTGCTCTGTTATTGTTGCTGGAACTCCGCGCACTGTTGACAACTGTGAACGTTCTACTTGTCTTGAAAGGCCAGAGCGGGCCTCAGAGTCTTTTTTTCTTACTTCAGCCTCCCTCTGTTTCTTCTGACTGGATGTTACTTACACTTTTGTTTTAAAGTGCTGCGAGCCCCGAGGAGCTGGCTCACCAAGCCTGTGCCAAAGTGTTCAAGGATGCAGCGTTATTCGAGTCCCGTTCACATGAGCTCGGAGGGCTTTGTTCTCGGGCCAATAAGATGCATTGAAGAGGTGGAGCTGAACGGGCAGCCATCCCATCATTAACACTTGTGGAGCAGAAAATGAGTCATGCTTCCAGTCAGAGCCGAACTTGTTTTCCTGTTCACTAGTTATAAGTCTGCTCTAATTCACGTGGCTGCAGAGAGACTTACGAGAAGCCCCCGTGTTTTATAGAGCGTAATTAGAGCGTCGCCTTGTTATCCAGAGGAAGCACTCATCATAGCTTTAATGCAGACGTTTACATGTTCCTGCTGTTACACCGAGTGGTAAAGATGATGTACACCTCTGCTCCTCCCTCCTGTGAGAGTTCTTATAACTCCAATTCAAAATCAAAGAGTAGAATCATCCGCTACCTCCTGAAGAGTAACACCAGGTTCTTCTCATTTCCTCCCATAAAAAAAAAAAAAAAAAAGATTGTATTTCCACTCTGGTAGAGAATGTTCATGGGTTGAAAAAAAAAAAAAAAGATTGTATTTCCACTCTGATAGAGAATGTTCATGAGTTGAAAAAAGAAACATTTCAGGGCTTTGGCTAATGACTAAAAGGTAATGAAGTAATGAGGTCGGGAACCGTTTCACTGGGATGTCAGATAAGGACTGAACAAATTTCCACTTGAAAACATCTGGACATCAGAACCAGGAGCACTGATCTTTACTCTCGTGTCCTCTTGTCCTGGTTAACTGCAGTGGACAGCTCTCTCTGATGGATGATAACGGAGAAGTAACGAAGTCAGGCAGCGAGTGTAGAAGAAAACAGAGAAGAATAGATTCACTGTGTCGGGAAAATTAATGGAGATCAAGTATTTATGTTTTTCCCGTGGAGCGTTTTGACGTGTTGATGGATTTTAACCACTGGAAAATTGTAAGATTTAACAAATCACATGGACTTCAGCCCCACCCCACCCCCCCCCTCCTAAAAATATGTTTTACCAGGACAAATATGACAAACATTCTCTCATTTGGATGTTTTAAAAAAATGTGGAGATTTACTGTTTCATGTGCTGTGTTGTTGTGAAATAAATGCATATGGTTTCAATGTTGTTGGTTGCTGTTGGTTGGACCAAACAAAACATTCAAGACGTCACTTTGGGCTTTGGGAGCTTTGTGATGCGTATATTTCATTAAGAATGGAAAAATAAAAACAAATAAAGCATGAATCAATAATGACAATCATTGGTTGCAGCCCTCGCTGCCCAGGGCTCGGTGGATAAGAAAAATAGATCAGTGTTTGATCATTGTTTTCAGCTTGGAACAGTAGAAAATGTTGGCAGCACACGGATGAGTGCTTCAACGAAACACTAATCCCACGTTCTTCACCAAGGTGAAAAGACATGTTCAGGTCCAGTGGGGCCGTGGAAGTGATTGTATTAAAACGACACTCACGCAGCACAGTTTCTCATGTACAGTACGGTTCAGTCACTGGTAAAAGACGCCGCACGTAACCGTGACCATGACCGTGACACGCCAGCGCACGACAGAAGATCCGCTCCAGTAACCCCACGGCCCCCTCCCCCAGCCCTGTTCAAAATGCCCTACTGTTCGGAGTCACTCTTTACACACATGTAACGTTTTAGTTTATTATTGTGTGATGAGAACAAACAGCTCGAAGGACAAACAAGACCAGTCCCTGTGGCAGCACAAATAACGAGGCCTAAATTACAGACAGCGCAAACACAGAACATTTCATTTTATGAAGCTCTCAGATTGGATAAAGGTTGTCAAAACAGAATCCTGTTGCCATGAAAAAGCTTTTGATTTGCTCAAAGGACAGTGGAGCGCCGGGCCCCTTGGGTTTGTTTGGCACATTTACTGAATTAGCTTTGTTTGTCTTTCAGGCCTGTACGCTGGCTCCAGCACCCCGCACCACAGCGCCTCGGTGGAGCTGCTGTCCCCCACCCCCAACCCCGTCTCCACCAGTGACCTGCCGCCTCGACAACACAGACACGTCCGTGACCTCGGCAGCCCTCATCACCTGTCACCTCTGACAGCTATGGAGGGCACCAGAGAAGGGTAATTATTTGTTTGTTTATTTATGAAACTCACGGGATGGTACCGAGGATTGGAACCATTAAAGTGCTTGTGTCTCGGATAATTGTGGTAAACACTAGATTGAAAAAACTGAAAATTATGAAAATTCTAACTTGGAAGCATCTAAACCTGTCCTGCCCCTCAAGAATATTCAATAAAACTGAGGTTGAACTTGTTAAACAAGGGCAAGATGCAGAGCAGCAGAGGAATCATTTGTCAACAAACAATGAGATAAATGAAAAAAAATCATCAAGTTTTATACAGATACATACTTGTGGGTTAGGGGCAGTGGTGGCTTAGTGGTTAAGGAAGCGGTTTTGAGTCCGGAAGGTTTCAGGTTCGATGGGTTGATGGTTGATGGGTTAAAAGCAGACGTCACATTTCGTTGTGTCACAATGACCAGTAGTTCACTTTCCTTCCTTCATATTAGTGAGATCAAGTCTTAGTTATAGATATATTTCCAGTTCTGTCACTTCTTCCGGCTCTTCTCCGTCCATCCGTTCGTCTGTCACTCAACAGTTACTCAGCTGTCCTTACAGGAAGGTCATGACTTCCTCCCCCTCTGCTCAATCTCACCCTAATATTATCATTATGATCACATTTTCAGCCATCGACTTCAGAACAAACTAAAGGGCGAAACCTCTTAGCTCATGTTAGGTTAAGCCTCGTGGTCCTGCTGACAAACCTTCTGCTTCTTTTACTGGAAACAATCTCAACTCCCCAACCTCTAAGTCATACCTCAGTGGGAGAAGGGCCGTCCTGGTCACAGCAGGGTCACGGTGACCCCGGGACAAGTCTTCATAAGAAGGTAACAAGGATACAGCGTCATCGACTTGATGAACAAACCGTTGGATTCGCACTAGTCACCGGAGTGAACCGTTTCGACGGTGCGTGGTATCATCTCTTCTTATCGATTGCGTCAATTCAGTTTTATCCTCAAAGGAAAGGAGAAACCGTACGGCTGTCAGAGTGTAGCTGCAGTCCAGTGATATAGTAAAGATATCCTTCCTGTACCTTACAGGGTTTCTGTTCCTGGTGTCCTCAACGTTAAGTCTCTGGATGAGTAATTTATAAATGTACTTTATTGAATTAAACCTCTGTAGAGAGGATGTTTCTGGATGATTTAAGGCCATGTTTGAAACAAGAAATAATGAAACAAGTGATGATTTAGTGAAGTCTAATCCCTTAGTTCAACTCAGCTGTTACATTATTGTGTAGAAAAAAAAAAAAAAAAAAAAGATTGTATTTCCACTCTGGTAGAGAATGTTCATGGGTTGAAAAAAAAAAAGAAACATTTCAGGGCTTTGGCTAATGACTAAAAGGTAATGAAGTAATGAGGTCGGGAACCGTTTCACTGGGATGTCAGATAAGGACTGAACAAATTTCCACTTGAAAACATCTGGACATCAGAACCAGGAGCACTGATCTTTACTCTCGTGTCCTCTTGTCCTGGTTAACTGCAGTGGACAGCTCTCTCTGATGGATGATAACGGAGAAGTAACGAAGTCAGGCAGCGAGTGTAGAAGAAAACAGAGAAGAATAGATTCACTGTGTCGGGAAAATTAATGGAGATCAAGTATTTATGTTTTTCCCGTGGAGCGTTTTGACGTGTTGATGGATTTTAACCACTGGAAAATTGTAAGATTTAACAAATCACATGGACTTCAGCCCCACCCCACCCCCCCCCTCCTAAAAATATGTTTTACCAGGACAAATATGACAAACATTCTCTCATTTGGATGTTTTAAAAAAATGTGGAGATTTACTGTTTCATGTGCTGTGTTGTTGTGAAATAAATGCATATGGTTTCAATGTTGTTGGTTGCTGTTGGTTGGACCAAACAAAACATTCAAGACGTCACTTTGGGCTTTGGGAGCTTTGTGATGCGTATATTTCATTAAGAATGGAAAAATAAAAACAAATAAAGCATGAATCAATAATGACAATCATTGGTTGCAGCCCTCGCTGCCCAGGGCTCGGTGGATAAGAAAAATAGATCAGTGTTTGATCATTGTTTTCAGCTTGGAACAGTAGAAAATGTTGGCAGCACACGGATGAGTGCTTCAACGAAACACTAATCCCACGTTCTTCACCAAGGTGAAAAGACATGTTCAGGTCCAGTGGGGCCGTGGAAGTGATTGTATTAAAACGACACTCACGCAGCACAGTTTCTCATGTACAGTACGGTTCAGTCACTGGTAAAAGACGCCGCACGTAACCGTGACCATGACCGTGACACGCCAGCGCACGACAGAAGATCCGCTCCAGTAACCCCACGGCCCCCTCCCCCAGCCCTGTTCAAAATGCCCTACTGTTCGGAGTCACTCTTTACACACATGTAACGTTTTAGTTTATTATTGTGTGATGAGAACAAACAGCTCGAAGGACAAACAAGACCAGTCCCTGTGGCAGCACAAATAACGAGGCCTAAATTACAGACAGCGCAAACACAGAACATTTCATTTTATGAAGCTCTCAGATTGGATAAAGGTTGTCAAAACAGAATCCTGTTGCCATGAAAAAGCTTTTGATTTGCTCAAAGGACAGTGGAGCGCCGGGCCCCTTGGGTTTGTTTGGCACATTTACTGAATTAGCTTTGTTTGTCTTTCAGGCCTGTACGCTGGCTCCAGCACCCCGCACCACAGCGCCTCGGTGGAGCTGCTCTCCCCCACCCCCAACCCCGTCTCCACCAGTGACCTGCCGCCTCGACAACACAGACACGTCCGTGACCTCGGCAGCCCTCATCACCTGTCACCTCTGACAGCTATGGAGGGCACCAGAGAAGGGTAATTATTTGTTTGTTTATTTATGAAACTCACGGGATGGTACCGAGGATTGGAACCATTAAAGTGCTTGTGTCTCGGATAATTGTGGTAAACACTAGATTGAAAAAACTGAAAATTATGAAAATTCTAACTTGGAAGCATCTAAACCTGTCCTGCCCCTCAAGAATATTCAATAAAACTGAGGTTGAACTAAACAAAGGAAAGATGCAGAATATTCAATAAAACTGAGGTTGAACTTGTTAAAAAAGGGCAAGATGCAGAGCAGCAGAGGAATCATTTGTCAACAAACAATGAGATAAATGAAAAAAAATCATCAAGTTTTATACAGATAAATTTGAAAAAACATAAAAATCTAACTGGCCTCTGAGTGTATTCTTACGTCTTGTGGGTTAGGGGCAGTGGTGGCTTAGTGGTTAAGGAAGCGGATTTGAGTCCGGAAGGTTTCAGGTTCGAGTCCACCAGCTCGCTTCAAGCTTGTCTCCCCAGTCCGGAAGGTTTCAGGTTCGATGGGTTGATGGTCACTTCTTCCGGCTCTTCTCCGTCCATCCGTTCGTCTGTCACTCAACAGTTACTCAGCTGTCCTTACAGGAAGGTCATGACTTCCTCCCCCTCTGCTCAATCTCACCCTAATATTATCATTATGATCACATTTTCAGCCATCGACTTCAGAACAAACTAAAGGGCGAAACCTCTTAGCTCATGTTAGGTTAAGCCTCGTGGTCCTGCTGACAAACCTTCTGCTTCTTTTACTGGAAACAATCTCAACTCCCCAACCTCTAAGTCATACCTCAGTGGGAGAAGGGCCGTCCTGGTCACAGCAGGGTCACGGTGACCCCGGGACAAGTCTTCATAAGAAGGTAACAAGGATACAGCGTCATCGACTTGATGAACAAACCGTTGGATTCGCACTAGTCACCGGAGTGAACCGTTTCGACGGTGCGTGGTATCATCTCTTCTTATCGATTGCGTCAATTCAGTTTTATCCTCAAAGGAAAGGAGAAACCGTACGGCTGTCAGAGTGTAGCTGCAGTCCAGTGATATAGTAAAGATATCCTTCCTGTACCTTACAGGGTTTCTGTTCCTGGTGTCCTCAACGTTAAATCTCTGGATGAGTAATTTATAAATGTACTTTATTGAATTAAACCTCTGTAGAGAGGATGTTTCTGGATGATTTAAGGCCATGTTTGAAACAAGAAATAATGAAACAAGTGATGATTTAGTGAAGTCTAATCCCTTAGTTCAACTCAGCTGTTACATTATTGTGTAGATGTGATGTCTCCAGGTTCTAGTTCAGGACAATACGACTTTTATTACTTCAACTATCAGGAAATATATCGATACCTCCGACTATTACCCTCACCCAGCTACAATTGATTTCAAAATAAAAGCTCTTTCTGTGTGGCCGGAACAGTTTGGTGTTTGAGGACATTGACAGCGGAGTGATAGGCTGCCGACCCAGAAAAGGTCAACTGTCGTCATTGACTGACAATCCAGGAAGAAGACAAATTGAAACAAATCCTTACCATAAGATGGACAACATTGTCTCGATGTTTGACAGGCTGGATTAGAAGGACCACACTGGTCCACGGGCCACAGTTTGCAGAGAAAAAGTAACAACAATTATCATTTATATAAGAATGAAACTCTTTTACAAACTAACTAGCTCTGTCTAGTTTGGGGATGTCAAACATACGGCCCGTGGGCCAAAACAGGCCCGCTTGGGGTTTTCAATCTGGTCCGCTTCATGTGTTTTGAAAATAAAAAACATACACAAACATTTCATATGCAAATATTAAGATGTATCTAATATATATATTTATATATTCTTTGCATGAAAGCAAAGAAGGAAAACATGGAATTATTGTTATTCGTAATGTAATGCTAATTATGTTATAATTGTACTGGTCCGGCCCACTTGACATCTAATTAGGTCGTATGCGGCCCCTGAACCAAAATGAGTTTGACACCCAGGTCTAGTTATATATTATATATATATATCATTTCTGCATGTTGAGAAAGTCATGTCAACTTTTAGGAAAAAAACCAAACATAAATATTTCCCAATCACAGTCTTTTACATCCCAGCCTCAGTTTGACAGGGTCCGCAGCTCCACAGACCTTAGAGTGCCTTGCTTTGGGACACTCCAGCAGCAGTGGGTGTGTCTGTAAAGGCAGAGAATGTTTTCTATTAGCACCATTGATTTCCCCGGAGGACCGGCAGAGCCTCAGTGTCGTCACAAGGCACAGTGTGTCCTGTCCTAAACAATGTGCCGAAAAACCAGGGAGGCAGTGAAGGAAAACAGTCTTTTAACAGTTTAATAACATTGAGAAAGAGTAGAAGCAACGGAGCGTCGGAGCTGTGTGTTACAAAGGTGATCGTGTTACATAAACACGCTTTGCTCTCAACTCAACTGTGGTGGGCTGTTTGTGTGTCTGTGTGTGTGTGTGTGTGTAGATGTGATACAACGGGGGCTTAGGATACAACCAGGTTTGATGGCTTTCTAACACCGAGAGCGCTGCATGCATGTGTGTGTGTCTCTGTGTGTGTGAGTGAGAGCAGTTTACATATAGTAATCCAGGAAACACACATGATTGCATGTGATTGGGGTGTGAGGCACAGCAGGCCCGTCGTCTTCCAGCACAAACAGTGCAGCCGAGCGTGCAGTTAAACGGTGTGGAGGCGAACGCCCGAGCGCCGCGCGTAGATGTCACGTCGGCCTGGAAGCATCTGGAAAGGTGATGTGTTGTTTTAAAAAAAAACAAAAGCCTTCACAGCTGCGTGCACAATTATCTGAAGTGGGAAAGAAATTAAAAGTGAAAAGAACCCGAGTGAAGAGATGCAATAACAGCGGATGACCACAAGGGGGAAGACACTCTTGATTAGAAAGATTTGATTGATTTGGTGTGTGTATGGAACACGAGCTCTCTCTGACTCTCTGAGCATTTGTGTCTCTTCTGAGAACAGTGCATTAAATTAAAATTTTGATTTCTCCGTGCAGTACTGCTCGTAGGCCACTAGTCAATGACGCGCACATGACGGACCAAAGTAAAAAATGATGTTAGCAGCTAATCCCTGTAACTCTGTTCTTCCCAGTCAACAATGAGAACAGACATGTGACCTGACGTTCGCCCCCGGCTGGCTCTTCGTGAAGTTCATGTCAGAGTTATGCTGCAGCTTCAGACTCCTGACTTTTAATAGCTGAACGGTAATTTATCTTTGTTTTCTGGTCCTCAGATCCACGTTCACCGTCCCTCATCAGTTTAGATTTATTTTTGGAGCTCCCTTCCAACCTGTAGAGCTCGAGCTTTACTGTTCACCACCATGTGTTTCTTGCAATTCTCTCATGAAACTGCTGTAGTCGTTACCAAAACAAACAGAGCAGGACAACAGGGTTGGAGCAACAGTTGAGCTCCTTTTATCTGATGTTCTGAGGCTCCAGGGCAGCACTGAGAAAAATTTTTTTTTTTTTTTCTTTGGAATATTTGTAGGAGAGTGAGAAATTTTAAAGATAAATGTGTCTGCAACAGTAGTTCCATGACCTCTAGAGGATCTGCAGAGGTACTGAAGGTGGACTGTAAAGTTTTTTTTTGGTTGATATGATTTTTTTAAATATATATTTTCAAAAACACATAAAATACTTTTTTTAAAATATTGCTTAGTATTCAAATAAATTAGATCACACAGTGAGTTTCCCAAACTTTTTTTTCTGGAGACCCATATTTTAAAAGTCACAAACCTTCGCGACCCAAGTCAATAGACATTATTCATAAACTCCTGGGAAACAAGATACGATAGACGACCCAAAAAAAAAAAAGAAAAATCTCTTGCGACCCACCTGAGGGTTGCGACCCAGTCTTTGGGAAACAATGGTCTACTGTGTTCTCCAGGTACTGTAGTCTTCTCCAGCTGTTTAGAAACAGTAATTGATCACATGTTAATTGATGACACTGTGAGAGTCTAGTGATGGACTGGTGTAAATGATGAACTATCGGGTTTGTTCCTCAGTTTAGGTGTTCTTGAGTTAAAGGACCTTCACTGTATCATATCGGGTTTACATTTTGGTCCAAAAATCATCAAGTCACTGAGCTGTTACTCGCTGGGAAATGCTTTTCAAAATGACCTTACGTCACTTACAGAATAAAATAAAACTCTCTACAGTTGCTATAAATTTACAAGGCTCTCGTTATATTTTCTATGTTACTCGACAAAGTCTCAATAGTTCTGCAGGAGTTCCAGTTGGAGCTCCACCAGGATCACAGGTGCCTTAGCAGCCGCTATTCATCAGGTACTGTTCATTATATATATATATATATTTTTCACTATACACCTACTTTTGTGATTTTTTAAAAAAAAACAAATGTATTTTACTGTATTTCACTGAAGTAAAATACGAGGTTTAAATATCTGCCTTTCAAACTGAAGCTCTCTGTGTGTCCACGGTGGCGTAAAGACAGAAGGCAGAGCGATTTGTCAAAAGCCAGTTGTGGCACGTAACGTCGACATACATTTGCCCGAAGATGGAGCAGTTGATATACATGTCCAAGACCCGGCGTAGACACGTACAGTCAGCTGCCAAGGTCAATATCTGAGCCACACTTGTTTTTCCCCGAACGGTTTAGCAGGACATTAAACATTTTGACAAAATTATCAAACTAACCCTCCTCAAGTGTGGCAGCCTCTGACCTCACAGCTAAATGTGTTTACCTTGGCCTAAATTAGCCATTTGGACTCATTTAACTTTGTCAGTAACCGTGTCATTTTTTTTCTTTTTTTCTGAAGATATTATTAAAATATACCAGGTGAAATGCACTGCATGGCTGTGCAAACGTCGTGTGTGGAAACGGTTGTTCAACTATGGTGGCCTGTGTGCTCCAGAGCAGCGGGGGAGTAAATGTTGCCCTTCTTCGCTTCTGCCCTATGTGGTCACATAATTGCAGAGGGGAGTCTCTGCTGCTTTTACCCAGGTATTGATATTAGAGGCCCTGTGCAAATACATGTACTGAGATGGTTTGATATCGGGGCAATGATTGACACCGGCTAATTCAATTCAAGTGGCAGCGCCGACAGGACAGAGCTACGTTCAGAGGTCCAGCCGTGAGGCGGGAGTGGGAGGGGGGCATGGGGTTGGGTCGGGTGGAGGGGTAACTCTACACTGCCAGTCTTCCAGCCATTATCTTTCTCCAGTGATCCAGAAATCATGTCAGTCATACAAACACAAACAAAAACATTTTTTGGGACCTTTTTTTTAACTTGATCTATTGTCAATAAACCCATCTTGACAAAAAATAAATATATCCTGTCAGAACCCGTCAAATCCTTACAGCCTCCCCTTGATCCCTACTCCTCAGACACTTCCTGTATTAGCTTAAGCTAATTCAGTAGCCTTTCTCTCAAGGCCAGGCTAGCGTCCTCTTGCTAACCAGAACCAGAAGTGTTCCCCCCACGATCGGGGCCAGAGAAGCTCCCCTCATCCATCAGCGGTGTTTAATGGTCGTCGGCTACAGAGCGGTGAGATGAGAGGGCAGGCAGAAGGGTGTTTGCGGAGAATGTAAGGACAAGATCTGCTCCGTGCTCCCCTGCGGGGCAGTTAGCTGCAGGTGGAAGAAGACAAACGAGGAGCAGAGCACGACTGTTCATGAATCTTCAGGTTGCTTTCCATGCCGTCACGGCTCCTCGCGGTCAGCCAAGACCTCAACGATAAGCTGTAATGTTTTTTAAGGAACAGATTTAATGTCCATGTGTGCGTGCCTGAGTACCTGGACTTCCCTGCGCTCATCTGTACACTTTAATTACATCGGACGTTGACAGAGAGCGACATCTTACGTACCTACATTAAAGATCTGTTTAATGCAAATTTTCATATGTATCAGTTTAAAATCTTCTTCTATGGTTGGCGGTGTTTTCACAGTCCACGTCTCTCCGTGTTCTCCTCAACACTGTTACCTTGTCTGTATTTATTAAACGTCTTCCATTATCCTGGTAGCCTCACCTTAAAATCCCCCCTCACTCCATCTTCAGGAATCAACGGGTCATCGGTCAAACCCCTCTTGTTGCAGTGGGTGGGCTGCCTGGAAAAACTGAGAGAATGATTGTCATTGAAGATGAATATCGGAGGAGAGATTAATGCCGCGTAAGAAAGATTCCCCTAATACCTCCGACCTGAGCAGCTAGCATGCTAAGGGTGTAGCGAGAGCAGCGGCAGCTGGCAGTGATTATCTTATGATTCACTTTAGCTGCGCAGAGAGGCAGCTCGTAAAAATATGAACAGTATAACTGTTTCCCGAGTTTGTGCTGACAGCAGCTCCCGGGGGAACGGTTCTCTCCGCAGGAACACATGACCATGTTCTGGGCCCGAGCCAGCCGGCGGATTAGCCACGCTCACAAACAGTGAGCTTCTCCGGCGCTAAACCAACACAGGGTGTCACACATGGGTTTTAAACCTTGTTTGGACAGACACAGAGGGTCAGCGTTAGACCTTATTCAGTGGAGCACTTAAATTTGATACCTTAATGAACACTTTAACACTGACAAGGAGGAAAACCACCAGACAGCTCTACAACCTGCCGTTTCTTTGAGCTCCGACTGAAACATCAACTTTTTTTTGTTTTGTTTTTTCAGTAATCCTTCAGAGCTGATCGTCTTTGTCACATGACATGGGTTTCCAGAACTCTGCGTGATCATACACGCTGCTTTACAGTTACTCAGAGGTGTGTGTGATATTTTTAGGGTCAGCAGACAACAACAGAAACTGACAGTCAGGATCGTGACACACACACTGTACAACACACACACACACACGGCCAGAGAGTCAAACTTCTGGGTTTTCATTCTGTTCCTATTGGTAAAATATATTTTTAGATTTTAGGGTTTTAACATTAAATTAAAAATCTAAAAAAAAATAAACGGTAACCCTAAATTTCAGACTGGAGCTGTTTGTTCTGGATTGTTCTAACATGGGTTTGAATAGTGTTGGATGGTTTTGACTCCAGGTTCTTGTTAAAATTTCAAGTCAAGGCCACTTGCTCTTTAGAAACATGGCTTTTTATTTTTTATTTTTTGCTGTTATGATTCAATTATTTATTGCGTTGGTTTTAAATTCATCCACTGTGGTTTTGTGAAATTCTAAAAATGATCTCACATTAGAGATAGAGCTACGAAAACTGAACTGCTTCGTTTGCCTCAGTGTTATCCAGATCCCAACACTGTTTCTCTGCCAAATCACCGAGTGTTTAATAGTGTGACATTTACGCCACATCATGGTCTCCAGCGGCGGGTGCAGTGAGCTGTTTCAACATAATGTTATTGCTGTGCATTCACATACGTGGCTCTTAGTTCAAACCATATGCTTCCACACAGCGGAGTCCTTCCTTGGCATTCCAGATATGCAGTCTGGAGAGTCGTCTGAGTAGCTGCTAAATATTTATGGTGGCGGTAATTGGGGCGGCTTTGTTATTGAGGTAATTTCTGGATTTCCCCCCGAATTGCTGTTGTGCTGTGTTGACGTTGTGTGTGCAATATTATATATTTGACTTTGATGGGTTTCGGTGTCTTTTATATACAAAACAAGTCTTTTAATTCAGAAGTGTACTCAGGACGACGGCGTGTTTACGTTCCACCACAGTAGCCTCTCTGTGACTGCTACAGTTTGACGTTTCAACTGTTGAAATCATCAAATTGCACGTTGAACATTCAGAGAGCATTAGAGATTAACAATGAGGTCTGCACACGGAGAACCCTTCGTAATCGAATTTCTAAACACTACTGATTACCACACTGTATTTGTTAGTATTGCAGTTTTTTTTTTTACGTAAGCGTCTTTTATTGATGCGTTACTGATATTTTTATGTCTCTGGACAGAGATAACCATTTCCCTCTGTTGTCCAAACATGTGCTGAACTCTTCAACTTTTACAAAGATTCACGCTGGTTCACACCAGGAGAGTCAATACATGTCTTAGTTTTGATTGAATTAAAACATTTACTGAAAGTGTTGACAGATATGACACTGGTCTCATGTCAAAAACACTTATATAGAATTATTCAGAGATTTCAACCGAGGCACGATTAAAGCCTGATGATGACGATGATGATGATGATGATGATGATGATAACATCTACTGCTGATTATTGTTATGACTGCTGATTTCTCAGTTTGACCTCCCAGCTCCACTCACTAATGTACTTTGACAGAACATTACATAATTCATGTATAAAAATATGAAACTGTTCAGCAGATTTGTCTTGACAGAGGCAGAAAAAACGAACCATTCCTTCGTTCATTCCACCAGAACTTTTTTGTTTATTTGTGAGGAGGACAAAGGAGAAAATACTTTAGATAATAGAGATCATACCAGATACTTGGTCTTATTAAATAAATATCCCAGAGGGAATGACATAATCCATCTCGCTGCTGTTGCCCCATCATTTTTAAATATGTTAAGCGGAAAATAGTTTTAAACTAGTTCATGTTCAAAAAATGCAATTGGATTTTACAGTCACTAAGTATTGAGTAATCGTAGTCGTGATCAGTCGAGATAAATCAATATTCCCAAATATAACACAGAAAAACAGAAAGACAAATAACAGCAGATAAAGTAGAAACGTTTTTTTATTTTTTGTGACTAATCCAAATAGTGGAATTAATTGGAAAATGTAAAAAATCGGGGTATCGACTGTGAATTAGACTAGTGGATACTCTTTCCAGCAGGGTGTGTAAATAACCACCTGGGTATCGACTGTGTATTAGACTAGTGGACAAACGGTGGAATTACATACGGTGTGCATGATCTGTCAGTTCATCAAAATATGAATCTAATTAACCTCACATTATTTTACACAATCAAAATACAAAATTCAAAAATAACTAATTTATTTGGACAACCTTAAAAAAATAAAATAAAATACAAAAAAACTTTTTATCACACGATCTCAAACCTAGTCCCCAGTTTGACCTTTAATTCAAACGTCTGGACTCTGAGCTGTTTCTACCTGCAAAGTCAAACAATGTTAAATGACGTCTTGATCATCGTTTAAAATCTGCTGGTTGATGTTTAAAAATGTCGTCCTTAACTCTACATGCATGCTGGGATATTGATGACATCACCACCTGATTTACAGCCACGAAAGATACTGTAAAGATTCTGGGTGGTGTTTATATATGACACGCAGGTCGTGGACCGCTGTAGCGTATGCTCAACAGGCGGCACGTGACACCAACTCTGACCGGAGACGTCACAAAGCACGAAGGACTTTAATGAATAATTGAAGTTGAAAGTAAAGCAGTAACCATATACCTGGAGCTCTGAATGAACGTATATCCCACCCACTCTGTTTGTCTCCTGTAGAGGGTCTGCTCCCCTTCTGTCCCCGGGAATGAAGGGAACAGTGACACCGCCCTCTCCTCCACCTCCACCTCCACCTCCCTCCCTGGAGAAACAGCACGTTCACGCTCACCAAAAGCCGTACTCTCACTATCAGCACCACCAGCCTGTTAACGAAGGTAAGACAGGCCGAGTTACATTTGTTCTCTCTCTTTTCTTCTACTCTACTACGATTGGCCGGGCTGTAGGAAAAAAAAGTTAATAAAAAAAAAAAATCATTAAAAATATATAATGGTTTTATTTCATCAATTTACAGACACATTTACAACTGATAGGTCACAGGTCACATCATGGAGGTCATCCAGGCTTGTTCATGTCCAGCAGTGTTTCTTGGCTCAGAGCTGGGCAGAAACTTGTGGACGTCAACAAAAGAACTGGGACGCAGGAAGTTTAAATATGCCTGTCCTGATCGCCCAATCCTGGCGTAGACAGACGTCGACGCTGACACTGATCTGTTATCTCTGGCATCTTTAAGGATGAAGATACTGCTGTTGAAGGAATGACGTTTGGGGGGGAATGGGAGGGAGCTCACACGCCGGAAACCCTTTTTCTCGAGTTACCAAACAAAATTCTGGCCGGTGATTTCAGCCGTCGATCAGCAGACTTCCATTGGAAGGCTCAGCTGTCACTCTGCAGCAGTTTTCCTAATGCCTTAAACACAGTTTTCCCTGAAAGGTCCTACACACGGACGTCTCTCTAACCACGCTGTGGTCGGGGAGTTGCGTAAAAGCGATCCTGGAAAGGCTGCTTTCCTATTATCGTGACTGCTGTGGTCGAGTCAGAGCACAGACTGAGACGGCCCGGGGTAAATGTAACGTACTACGGGCCAGGCAGAATTAGCACAAGCACAAATATAGCATTGTCTTAATTTGAGATCCATATTGAGCTCCAGCCGGATGGAGCGGAGTCTCACTGACCTGGGAAACAATCAGCCGTAGACAATGAAGGCAGTGGACTCTTTTTTTTTATTTCCTCCCTGACTCTGAGCCTCTTTCATTTCCTAGAATATCACGGCAGCTTTGGGAGCTGCTTCCATTACGGAGACTCTTTCAGGATGGAGCAGTCGGTCGGTGGCGTCCACATCCCAGGAGACTCTCACGCCTACTCTGCCCATCAGCACAATGGCTTTCACATGTCAGCGGTCAACGCTGGCTCTGGTGGTATGGAACGCTTGTTTTGGGCCCTTCCAAAAATCATAACTCAAATGTTTTTTGGTTTTTTTTATAAAGATAACTCTATGATTTTTCTCTCGTCAGCTCCAGGATTCAGTCTGACCCAGGAGCTGCAAGGAAATACAGGATGTCAGTTCTCGTCAAGCCCAGAGGAGAGTGTTTTCTTCCAGGTGGGCAGCTTCGACCGTGGCCTGAGCCACATGTCGACCGTCTACACAGAGACATGAACGAACACTGGAGCAGGCCCTGCTCCACCACAGCCGCTCTTCTACTCTGCAGCCTCGTCCCCTACGTGCAGCTTCACACACTCGTGTCTCCGATGAGTTTAAAACAAAAACAAAAACCCACAAGAATGTTTTTAAACTCCAGGTCAAACCACTGACCTTTACTTAACCTCCAGAGTCGGCTTTTATGGAGTTCGACTTCATCGTATTAAAATGTCTCCAATAAAATCAAAAAGGGATTTTACTGGTATTATGTGAACTATTTCTGAGAAGTCAAACGGTCTCTGAGTCTAAGGAAATAACCCCCCTGTGATGTCACGATGATGTCATGAGTGTTATTGAAGATTAAGGACGGGACAGATTTATAACAGACTCTAATTAAATACATGGGTATTTGCCCTGCAGGGAATCCTACTACAGATACTTTGTATGACAAATATAGTATCAGGTATTTTTTTTAGGTAAAAATGAAAAAATAAATATTAGTTCATTCATTCTGTCTCGACCAAGGCTCTTATAAACCAACCTCAGCATTGACCAGTGTGTTGTACGTGAGCAGACCAGACTTGTACTGGAACTTGTACCCATTATGTCTGGCTGCTACGAATGTTATTAAATTATGAAATGTCCATAAGCGGCGCCTTGAGGTCGTGATCACTTCCATTGGCCAAAATCATCATCATCATCATCATCATGTACAGTAGATTTTTCTCGAAATCGGTGCTAAGACCTAGTGGTGTTAAAACTAAGTTACACCTAAGGTGTGTGTGCTTTGACACGCTCGTTTCAGATGGTTCAAAAACACCTGCGTGGCCGCGTCGTAACATGGTCTAACATGTTTTTTTTTCCTCTTTCTCTTTATTCCACAAATCAAACCCATTGAATCCACTTCAGACTGATGTGTATAAGAGACAACATCGTTTTTGCTGTGTTGTTGTGACAGTGGAGATGTGTTTTTTTGCATATGTGCGTTTGTTGCTGTGATTTGTTCGTTTTTTGGGGCTCATGACTTAACGTTAACCATTAAAAACATTATTATATATATGTCTAAAAATGTACAGTTTGTTTACATTGATTATTTGACAGTTTGTTTGTTTTTGATTTTTTTTCTCAGTTTAAGGATTAATAAAATGTTTGGTCTTTAAAGGGTTGTTTCTTTGAGGTATTTAGATTTCCTGCAGTTTTGAATAGCTTAGTAAACGTCTTGCAGGTGTGTAATGCCCTCTACTGGTCACTGGTAAGTATTACAGACAGAAAAACCCCCCAGTGCAACTGGCCTATTGTTGCTTGTCGTTGCATCTCATTTCTTTTTCTTCCTGCTCAGGTAGCTCTGATAGTAGAAGTTACTGAAGAGGATGATGAGGGTGACGCAGTAACCAAACACCACCAGGTTCATGGCGTCTGGAAAGTCGCACTCTGCAAACAGGTTGTAGCCGGTGTGTAAGAGAAACATCAGGAACTGCAGCTGGAGAGAGAGAGGACAGACAGAGGTTTATTTTATTTTTTAAAAAATGAAGTAAAGGATTTGTGTTGACTCTGTGAGCAGGAGACTCTCACCAGCTGCAGGCGTGTGAGGTATCGTTTCCACCACAGGTACTTCTGCATGTGAGGCCCCAGAGCAGCCAGGCCGTAGTAGGAATACATCACGATGTGAACAAAGGTGTTGACCAGGCCGATGAAGAAGGCTGCAACAGGAAGGTAAAGTCAATTATATATAAACATACAACAGCATTGTGACGTGTACTGCAGCGCCCCCATCTGCTGTAAAGAGAGTACACACACCGACCAGCGGCCCTAAGACCAGGGAACATAATGGTCTCATTGAGAGTCGTTAGAACTTCAAAATTGAATTAGGCTTCACTTACACTGTCCTCCTGCCACATACTTGACCCCAGACCACCAGTTAAAGATCATGGTGGCGTGATGGTAGACGTGAAGAAACGTTACTTGGCTGTCCTTCTTCCTCAGGATGAAAAAGAGCTGCTCACACGGAGAGAAATTAATTAATTTTTTTATTAGAATTAAATCAGATTGAGTCACCAGTTCAAACTGGACAAATACCCACGGTGTCACTCAGCTCTATGACCTTGGAGAAGAAGAACCACCAGCACACACTGGCCATCTGTGTAGGGTTTCGTAGGGAGAAATTAAATTTAGAATAAAACGTCCAATTTTGCTGGACACAGAAATATATGCAAACATAAAGGAACATTAATGACACTCACTCTCATGGCCAAAGGGCTGGTGCTGTAATCTACCGGCTGACACAGTAGGCTGTAGTTTGAGAGCCAGGATGTGACCAAGAACTGGAAGTAATTTAACAAAAAAAAAATCACATTCCCAAGAACTGGAAGTAATTTAACAAAAATATATATTTTTTTCACATTTACATTTCCTTTGTTGTGTGTGTTCTAACGATGATGGCGTTGTTATGCGTTAAGGAGCAGCACGTACCTCGTAGAACATGTACGCAGAAAGGCCGACCATGGAGAAGTTGTAAACAATGAGGACAGCTCTGAGGTCAACAGGTTCCCTGTGCTTCATCAGACGGGGGCCGGCCCAGACCACACAGAGATACAGCAGGAAGATGAGTGACACGGGGACGGGGGAGTAGACCAGCAGCCACGGGTCAGTCCTCTTGTCTGGAACATGATAGGTACCGTTGTGTCACATCAGGCACGTGTTTGTATTCTTGATTTAAATCACATTTCACACATCAGTTCAGGTTTAAAGTAACACTAAAGGTTAGGTTTTTAGGATCTGTCTTTTTTTGTTTCTTTTTTACACTTTCCATGACGATGCTGGTGTTTGTTTTAAGGCTTTACAGCAGATGACAGGTTTTTCCAGTTTGTTGTGTTCCAGATCAGTCCACATGACCCAGTCTATGTCACAATTTAGAAATGTAAACCAGATCACAAAAATTGTAGAGAAAACCCAGTTGGGTTTGTTAGGAAACAGCCTTGGTGTGACAGTTGACTCTGACTTGACTTACACTCGGTCCAGACTTGTACAAACCAGAGAGGAGGATGCGTTTAGCAACACAGTCCATCCAGATGTAGCATTGTGCTGTCAACCAATGAGCAGCCACAGAGCATTCATTGTGGCTCAGCCCCCGCACACTGAACAGAGTCTTTCTCTGCTTCAAATCTGCAGTTGGCACCAGGGCACATTCAACACTGAAACTAAAATATGAAGCCACGAAATTATGAAAGCTGTTGAGAACAGTGTTTCTCAAAGGGTGGGTTGTGAGAATAATTGTGGTTAGGGGATAATTTCAGCTTTATCTGTGTCTGAAACTAAAACAATCAATGTTCATTGTTGTTTTATACTGCAAGTCCACTTGTATGGTTTAAAATATCAACAAAATATGTTAATCTGACCCCGGATGAGTTCACAGAACGGCCAGCCTACGGTAAAACCAATTTTATCGTGACAATATCTGTTTTATACTGTTTAGAAAATAGTCAAATATTGTGAAATAATTTTCTTGTACAGTCGTAAAAAAAAGAAATTGCAGTTATACATTACATTACAGTACAGTACACACCTCCATTTTCCACTACCCACTGGTACAGAGACCTGATTCGCTGTCCTGCTGACGTCATCTGAAAAAAAAACCATTAAGAAATAAGACGTTTTTTATGAGAAAAAAACATTTAATGAAAAGAAAATATGTGTTAGTAACTACAGGTGGTTCATACAAGGACTGTAAGGAATCGGAGTTTGATGAATAGTTTACCCGTTCATGTCCAAATGTATAAATGCTGTTATTTTGTGCTTGCATTAAAAAAAAAAAATTGTACTTTACACAAGACAATAGACTGCACAGTGACCACTGCGAGGTGTGGTCTAATCTCACAGTTCCAGTTTGCAATAACAACATCGCTTCAAGGACAACCAGAACTAATAAAAACAAAAATCCCCTCAATAGTACTAAAAGCAAAGATCACTATGATATTGACGAAGAACAAACTTAACTTTTTAAAGATAAATACTCGATGACCACTTGGTTGTGCCGCTATTCGTGTTCAGACGCTGCACTGCGTTCATTACCATGTCTATTCTCACACTTACTGCGTCGACATTTCACTTGTAGTACTACAAACAAGTACTTATCTTTTAAAAACAGAAACATTAACGCACGTACAATCACTCACTTTTCAGACAACCTCAGTTTCACCAGTGCTGGCGTTGCAGCAGAATCTCTGCACAATCTCTGCAAACCATCTACACAGCAATGAATAAGAGTAAAGTTCACGTCACCACCCCCTCCTCTGAAGCCACGCCTTCATCAGAACGACGTCATTGTAGAGGAAGTTCTATGGCATCCTTTATAACAGTGGGAGGTGCTGTTTCCCCTCAAATTCCGATTCCTCTGAGTCACTAAATCTTTCTTTTCATGTCTGCCTCATATATATATACACATATATAAATGTACTTGTGTATGTATGTTATATTATTAATTATAATTAAATTGTACATATTTTTTAATAAAATGTGTTTATTTATTTTAATTGTCCTGTTACTTTATAGTATGTCTGTTGAAGTCGGGTGTTGCAACTTCTGATCAGCAGAGGGTGCTGTGTCTTTAACGTATCGATGAATTGACAATTGTCAATATTAGATGGAGACGTCAAACTTTAGCGCTGGAGCTAAGAAACGCAAATGCCAAGGACGGTTATCGTGGTGGTTACTGTTTTCACAGGTAATGTAATTAGAAACTATAAACCGAATCGCATGTGAAAGTTTTAAGACAAAAAGTGTAGCGTTAGACTGACTGTGAGGTTTAGTAAGTTTTAACAATGGCGGCCCGGAGTTAATCAATGGTACTGACTACGTTAATGTTATTTTAAAACAAGTGATAAAACTGTATAATTACGGTTAGAGAAATGTAAAACAATAAACCAAATGCTATTCGTGAGGTTGTTTTTACGTTTTATTTCTAAGGAG